GAGAGGAGGAGATCGCGGGGAGTGGGGCTGGGTGCAGGAGGTTGGGGGGAGCGGAGCTAGCTAGAGGAGATCAGGGGGGATCTGGCCAGTGGGGACTGGGCTACTCATCTCGCGCACAGTCTCAGCGGGGTGCACAGGCAAGTCCGGTCCCGGGGATTCAATCTCACCCTGGCCCCGCCCTCACCCCTAATCCCACTCCCACCCGCCTCCTCTTTACTGCAAAGTTGTGTACTGCCTGACTGGTGGACATGCTCACACAGTGTCAGTGTATCTACCAGCCAGGCAGTACACAACTAAGTACTGATACTCCTGATAATAATAAAAACTTAATTAGAAAATACTGGACATTTATATATCCAGTATTTTCTCAATTTGTTTCCCGGACAGAATGCTCCAATACCGGACTGTCCGGTTCAAAACCTATTTGGCAATGACCCTAAATAGAAGAAGAACTTAAACTATGTGACCTGAAGTCAATTAGGGCATGTCTACCCTAGGAAATTATTTTGAAATAACTAAATTTGACTTAATAATCCCTGATTTTACAAAATCAAAATAGTATATCCCCACTATGGGAAAGCCTTGAAATTAGTCCGAAGCAGGTTCCATTAATGTGGGTGTGGTACCTCGACTTAGAGCCCCGGGAAGTACTGGGGAGAGTAATTAGTTTGATTTACTTTGGGAATTAGTTATTTTGAAATAGTGGCACTGGAGTATCCACACTAATGCTATTTCAAATTAACTCTTTCAAAATTAGAGTTATTCCCTGTGAAAAGCAGGAGTACAGATTTCGAAATAAGCGTCCTGTTATTTCGAAATAATGGGCTTGGTAGTGTGGACGCTCCATTTATAAATTCGACGTAAGTGGGGTTATTTCAAAATATGCCCTTGTGTAGACCATGGTGTATTTGTGAACTTTCACTGATGGGGGAATTCTTACACTGTTTGAGATGAGATCATTATTTCCCTCTCAGTACATTAAGACAACAAAGAACAGACCTTTTTCTTCTCTTTTATGAATGACGCAGTTTTATCCAAATGCCCTCACTTCACCTCCACTTCATATATTTGTGATAAGTGATATTATGTTTCCATTTTCGGGATATTCCATTTATCCTGAATAAAGTACTGTACTTTTATTGTATTTAGTTCTAGATTTTTTAAAAGTTGTCTAACGAAATACACTCTGCTGTTTTTGTTCATATTATATGGAGCTGAAATGGAAAACAAATTGTAATCTCTGGACTTGTATTCTCATGGGTAGCTTTGCTATGTGCACACAATGTACAAAATATTGTTGTTTTTACTACCCGTAGTGTGGTCAAAGTCAGAGAAGAGAGGTGCCTTTTGCACTTAAACTTCTTGACATTTACTGGATAGATGTCACTTGACCTCTAAGTGATATACTGTACGTAAGTGCAGGCTTGACTCTAAATATAACACAAATAAAATAAAAACTGTTGTTTCCTTACATTTAGACATCTAACTCAGCGGTTCCCAACCTTTTCCAGATGGGGACCCATTTTGACAATTCAGGAAGACTTGAAGGCAATTCAAAAACGGGGAGAGGAGAGGAGATAGAGCCACCTGGGGAAACACTTGGCCACCCTTTTGAAATGTAATGGTGACCCATATTTGGGTCATGACCCATAGGTTGGGAAACCCTGATCTTACTGCTTAGCTTTCAGAATCAAGTCCTATTCAGGGCATCCCAAAGTGGTTGGATGCAAGGGTGCTCCTAGCTTTTCAGGAGACACTCAGCATCTTGCATAATTGGGCCCCAAGTATCTAGAACAGAACATTTTAGTTTGCAGGGCTCTTCATCAGGATTTATCAGTATTTTTTTTAAATATTAAATCTGTTCAATCTATCTAATTCAAATTAGGGTTTATAATATTGCTGTTAACAAACTACAGTGTTAACCACTGCATAAGATAGCTGTATAGATAGCCAGATTTTAATTTGGAGTACAGAATTAAATTCCATAAAGAGTTTGTAAGAATAAAAAGTGAATTTAGATTCAGTAGTTGTTGAGGAACTTGGGGTGGTGGCAATCAGTTCTCATTACATGGGGATGGGAAAATTCAGCCAAATATTTTGATAGAATATAATATTACAAGCTACTAAATACCTTCTTCTTTGGTATTTCAATCAAGTTGCCCTCTTTTGGAGACATATACGTTGACAGAGGCCTGCTAGTTTGAGGAGTGTGATTTTAATGCAGAAATAAAACTGGTGGGAACAGGTTATGTTAAGTGGTAAGTTTTTTGCTGATTACATGTGAAATAATTTGTATGTCTCCCATTACAAAGAGGAGCCGTGGATTCTAAAACCAAGTTATCGAGCTAAATGAAGGAGTAACTGGATGATATTCTAAGGACTGTGTTATTCAGGAAATCAGACTAGACAGATGATCTACTGGTCCCTTCTGACCTTAAAATCTAATCTACTGTGCAGGAAGGTTACTCCCAATTACATTTCTTCTCCCATCTGTGTGTGTGAGAAAGTGAGCATGAGTCCAATAGAATAGCTTCTTGGAGAAAGAGTTGCTCCAGAGATGCTTTGAATGAGATTTTCAAAAGTGCTTGGCTTTGGACTATTATTGACTTCAGTGTAGCAACATTAGATGAGTGCTGAGTAGAAGTGCATGGCCTTCCCTGTTTAAAAAAAAAAAAAAAAAAAAACAGCTACATGGCAGGGCAAAAGTCAAATTACATTATACAACGTCCGCTATGTCAGTTGCATAGCTGAAGTCGAAATAGCTTAATTTGGCTTTTGGTGCTAGAAGTAGAAGGAAGAACACTCTTCCTTTGACTTCTCTTACTCCTCATGAAATGAGGGTTACAGTAGTTGGAGTAAGAAGTCCTCCAGCTTCACATTATTTCAAAATAATGGCTTGCAGTGTAGATGCGCTCTTTGTTATTTCGAAATAATGTCAGTTATTCCAAAATAACACTGCTGTGTAGATGTACTCTGAGAGATTGGGAAATTCACTTGATGTGGGAGACCCAGATTTACATTCCAAATCTGGAGCATGGATTTAAATCCCAGTCTCCCATGTCACAGGGCAATGTCCAAGCCATTGCTTAGCTAGTCAGTCCCCAGCCTGTAGCAGTGCTTGTGATTCTTCCATTCCAAGTTCAAAACTCTGCACTTGTTGAACCTGATTAGATTTCTTTTGGCCCAATCCTCTAATTTGTCTAGGTCACTCTGGACCTTATCCCTACTCTCCAGCGTTCTCTCTCTCTCCCCCTTGTTTAATGTCATCTTGTTTCTTATTCAAGGTAGATACAATTCATTTGCAAGCAGAGTACCGTCTTGATTTGTGATTTTCCTTATTGGTTTCATGAGGCATGAAAAACAGTATCTGTGCCATTACAAGAAATGCAGATTGCTTTTTCACTATTTCAAGTTGAATTTTCAGGGGGCCCCTACTCAAACTTTTTGATTTGTTACTTTTATCAGCATTTTCTGTAAGTGTAAATTAAATTATTATTTCAAGTTTTGCTTCTCAGAGGAATTTTAGGCAGTTTCAGATTATCATAGTCACAACTAGGAAACAAAAGAATGGTGGGATTTTTTTGGTGTATACAATCCATTTACAAATTTGTAAAGGATAAAATATTTTACAAGCTGTTAAGAAAGTGTTATAGTGCTTTGAATTAATCCCCTGAAGTATGCCACTGTAAATGCTGACACTGATTTTCATATAAAACTCTCTTCAGAATGATTTCCTCTGATTCGCTTTCATAAAAAAAGGAACAAAAACAAATCTCAGATACAATTTTTCTATAGAGACTTGCTAAACCATATTCATTCTCTTGTGTTTTTAGTACAATAGGTCTGTATCATGTGACATGTTTTCACTGGTTAAAGTTTGTGCCATTTGTCATGGGGCTATGTACATAATCTCCGCATTGTGAATTGCTGCAGACATTATTGACTTTTTAATTTATGTACTTCCTTTTTTTTAATGATAAATACAGGGAACTATACTTGGGTATGAGGCACTGTGAAAAAGAGCAACACACCCCGAACTCTCACCTGGCACTTTTCACTGTTTACTATGGAGAATAAAGAGGAGAAGAAGGAGCGGAGACAAGGCTATTTTGCCCGGTAAGTGTACATGATTATTTCAGTGCTGATAAAAATGTGCCTGTGGACTTTGCCATCGGAAATGGGCTTGTATTTCACATTTTAAAATTATAATGTTGTGTATTGTGAATCTACAGCTACCTCAGTGGGAGCTGGATTTTTCCTCTGCATTTTCCCCCTTGTGTTTGACTAATTATTTGTTGTTCTATCCCTGCTGTCTCTGGGTAATGGAGGCTGCATTGCAATACCAGTTATAAATGTTATTTACAGTACAGAGCTGTTACTGAACTTAATTGTGAAATGCTCTGAATTTTATATTAATAATTTGCCTGGCTTCTGTGAAGTGGATCAAGCTGCAGTGACTTGCAAATCTGCAACACGACAGAAATCTGTTATTTTCAGATTCCTAAAGAGACAATGATTCAGCAGTACATTCTCGTATGCCAGTGGGTAAGTTAGGGGAGACCATCACCTTAATTTGAAAAGTGAGATCATGTTCTTGTGCTAAAACTTATAAACTATCCTAATAGTTAGCCTACACTAATATTTATAAAGACAACATTGGATTTTTACCAACTACTTTTATTATTTTGGAGCCATGGCATGTGATTTTTTTTTAAGGATAAAAATGCAGGGAAATGAAACCTTGGTTAACATAATAGGTATTTCTATAAATAGTTATCCATGATGAGCTGTATGGGAGAAACAGTACCAAAGCTCAGTTAGTCTTCTTGAAAAATGTGAGAGTACAAGTCTTCCTTTTGCTTTCAAACAAAGTTACAAAAATAATTGCTGTAATATTACTGGGAAGGAAAATCCACCACAGTGGTGCTTTTGTATTTGCTTGTCCAGTCTGTTCTTAATTATTGTTAGGGTTAGAAGGACTAGATTGCTATCAGCAAACATCCGTTTCACTGTATAAAAAACAATGAAAAAATATTTCTGTCCATCATAGTCAAAATTGACAGATAGGCATGGTAATGGAGTGGGGAAGTAGGCAAAGGGGGCAGTTGCCCCAGGGCCTGGTGATTCAAAGGGGCCTAAGATTCCAGATGCCATCACTGCTACCACAAGAGTGGTGGCAGCTGGAGCCCCAGGCTGTTTAAATTGCTGCTGGAGCACCATGTTCACTCAGGGTTTGGGGGAGTGGGGTGGAAAGCGCGCTCTTGGCATTGCTGAAGGATGCTTGGGGACAAACTGGAGTCCTCAGCACTGTCCTTTTTGGGAGTGTGGGGCTACCCCACACACCTTGCCCAGAGGCCCACGGAGGTTGTCTGTGCCACTGATATAGTAACAAAAGTGCTGCATTTAAGTATGTTTACCTGGTATATTTTGACATTGGCAGTTTGTGATTTAGTGTTTATAAAGTTTTACCTTTTTGAATCTCAACATCTATAGACACAAAATAATTATTGTCCTTCCCTTCTATTTTCTTGCAACTCTGAAAATTGATAAGAACATAAGCACAGCCATGCTGGGTCAGATCAAAGATCTATCTAGTCCAATATCTTGTCTTCTGACAGTGGAGAATGCCAGATGCCCAAGAGGGAGGGAATAGAACAGGGAATCTTCAAGCAATCCCTCTCCTGTCACCCATTTCCAGCCTCTGACAGGCTAGGGACACCATTCCTACCCATCCTGGCTAATAGCCATTGATGGGCCTAACCTCCATGAATTTATCTAATTCTTTCTTGAACCCTGTTAAAGTCCTGGTCTTCATAACCTCCTCTGACAAGGAGTTCCACAGGCTGACCGTGCACTGCATAAAGAAAAACATCCTCTTGTTTGTTTTAAACCTGTCACGTATTAATTTCATTTGGAGACCCCCTAGTTCTTATGTTATGGGAACAAGTAAATAACTTTTCCTTATTCACTTTTTCCACACCAGTCAAGATTTTATAGACCTCTACCATATCCCCCCTTGGTCTCTTCTTTTCTAAGATGAAAAGTTCCAGTCTTTTTAATCTCTCTTCATATGGGACCCGTTCCAAACCCCTAATCATTTTTGTGGTCCTTTTCTGAACCTTTTCCAGTGCCAATTTTTTGAGATGAGGCAACCACATCTGTACATAGTATTCAAGATGTGGGCGTACCATGGTTTTATATTGAGGCAATAAGATATTCTCTGTCTTATTCTCTATCCCTTTTTTAATGATTCCTAACATTCTATTTGCTTTTTTGACTGCTGCTGCACATTGAATGGATGGTAAAAATCAGGAAAGATGCTTACTCACAGAATGTTTCATAATTATTAAAATTTAAATACATATTTTTAAATAAACATTGATATCTATTGAATTATAAAAAGTTAAATTCTGCTAAGCTGAATTGTTGCTAACCAACTGCACTAAAAACTGCACTAGGTGTTTTGTGGACATGTAATAAAGTAGGTACT